TATGAAACATAGTCAAATACTCATATTAAGACAGAAAAGCATCTTAGCACACAATCACAACCGATATACCAATCCAAAAGTAATCAAATACTCAGACAATATCAAGCGATTTCGACCATACTGAAATTTATAAATATTAACAACAGAATTTTCATCTCTGGTTGCCAATAGTCTTTTAGGAGAATATAATGAAGCAGACATTGTTAAGGTTAGCTCTCGAGGCTGACCCGGCTCAAATCCGGATTAATCCGAGCTTAAAATAGGCTCTAGATTACCAGGTGAGATACCTCAAGTCAATAATAACTACTGGGCAATTTCTATATTTTTGATTCAGAACAACGACGAAACAAGATAAGATAATTATTTTCAATCCAAAAAAAAGTACCAAATTAGTAAAGTAGCCTCTAATTAAAAATCTCCAATCAAGCCAATATACAATCAATCAATATTTAGCTGAAACACGCAACAAATCAATCAAAACACAAATTAAAAAACAACATCAAAATCAAAAAATTCACCTCTATGATTATGTAAAGAGGTACTGCATTCATCAATTTTCGGACCACGAAAAGGCGAAACGGTGTCGGATTCACGAGCTTCTCCATCAGTAGAACAAACCCTAGCTCCAACAAAAACGTCTGAACCCATCAATTTCGGCTTCGAAACATCCACCGGAATCGCCAGTTCAACAGCTTCCATCACCGCCACGTCATCATCACTCACTCTTCCACTCAAACCAAACCACCACCAATAAAATCAATTCTAAACTAAAAAAAAACCCTAATTACAAAGCTGAAACACCTCGGATCGGCGAAATCGAGGAATCGACGAAGAACAAAAACCCTAGGAGAGAGAAAATGGAAGGTCGGAGAACGATTTAGAGAGAGAAATCGGAGGAGAGAGAAAGGGGTTGCGGCGGAGGAGAGGCGAAAATGGAGGCGTCTAGGGCAAGAAAAGGAGGGGGGTAGAAAGATAAGTATTTATAGTTTTCGGGAAAAGGGAGAAATGAGGGTGACTTTGGATTATCGGAGGGGAATTTTCCGGTGAGGTTTAGAGGGAAATGACGATTTTACCCTTGATTACGTGGCAGGTTGTTGGGGATATGACGGGGATTTAATTCAGTGTGTAGGGGTTTTTTGGGGATTTTGTTGGCATTAAAGTTGATTAGTAGGGTTTGTGGATTGGCCAATTGGGTTGAGACTCGTGTTTGGCTGAGCTAGTCAATTGAATGGATAGATTGGAGTGTGGAATTACTTAAATGCCCTTGTGAAAGAGAGAGTGTATTTTAGGCTTTTTGGTAGGGTTATTTAAGTGTTGTTTATTGGCTAGTTGTTACTCCGTGTCTCCGTATGTGATTACTTGTAAGTCTCGTATTATTTCAAAAAAAAAAAGTGATTACTCATGGCGTGTTCTAATTTATTAAATTGAGCTGAGCTAAATTGATTGAAATTGAAATGGATATAGCTGAAATGAATTATTTATGAAAGAAGGAAATTAGAAACTAAACCAAAATTAAGCTGAAGAGAATAGACTCTCATACTTTAGAAATTTACTAGGGTGATGAAGATGTGGATTGTAACTTGCAAGTGTGATAATACATAAGTCTACTACTTTTTTTTTTTTTTTTATTTTGATAGTATCATTGAAGTTTTAAGTGAGTACATTGTGTCAAAAAAAAGTGAGTACATAATTAATAATTTTGTTAATTATAAGTAGGCCAATTGATTAAAGTTTTGGTAGTTGTGAGATAGATTGTAATAATAATCGAATAAATAAATTAGCTAACTACTCTTAAGCATTTCACATTACTTAATGAAAAGCCATATTCAATTTTCATTTTTTTTTCTAGAGAGTAATTCGTTTCTTATGATGTTCTTTTAATGTATCACTAATGTTTGGCTGAGGCAATACCCAAGTCATTACTTGTGATTGATTATTAGAATACATTTTTATATATAATTTAATTCAATATTCACATAGTCATTCATTACATATCTAAAAATATTACAAGATTATGATATAGCTTGGTGGAAAGGCACTTAGTTTTGGAATTAAAAGTTGCATGTTTGAATATTTGCATTGTGGTGTTTTTTCTTTACTTTTTATTTTGATTAGATCTTGTGATTTGTAATTATATATGAAATTCATTTTCATGTTAATTACATTGTTGAAAAATAGCTTAGATGATTAAACAATCATCCTTCTTATAAAGAGGTTGGATAAGTAATGAGGCATAATTAAAGATCATGTTGGATGATGTGGCGCAATGAGAGGTTGAATATGTGACATAACGTAATTAAAAGGGTCTACGTACGTGATTAGTATATAGAAAATGAATCATGATTAGTATGATAATTAAGAAAAATGAGTCAGTCCGGGATAATATCCGTGCTAAACATGACCTGTTTATAAACAGAGCATGTTCGTCATTTTGTCTTAAAAAGTAAGGGTGAAAATGTCCAAGGCAAAATTGAGGGATAACTGTTGTTTTGCTGCCGTGAAGTTGTAATGCTTAACCATGGTTAGTTGTTGTCTTCCCCTCCATCTTTGCTGCGAATCACACCATTGAAGGTGGTTCCCACCACCATATGCTCATACTTCAATCTTCCCACCACCACTTGCTCATTACTTCCATCTTCCACTGAAGTAGATCGTGAACCATCTATTCACCACCATATTTCCGGCGGCTTTATTTGCCGCCAAACTAAATGAAAACCCTAAGAAAAAATATAGAGAAATAAGGGTGTGGTTAACCCCAAAAGGAAGGGGTTTCATCCTCCTTCGGTGATGAAATTCGCGAGCTTTTAGTACTCCATTGAAGCCGTTGATCCTCCATTAAAGTCGATGTAAAGCTCTAGCCTTCTTCTACAGATCTTCATTTTCTTAAAGCTTAACTACAGTGAGTTACCGTGGTTGGCATTGAGATTTACTGTGGTTGGTAGTAACGGATCAAACATAAACGTGAGTTTTTTTGCCATTACGAGTTGGCAAATGTCAAAAGTTTTGGATGGAAACTAATTGTGTTATTGTATGTGCATGGACTCCAAAGCAATTTTATTCTGAAATTGCCATGTGCTAAACATTTCAAGTTTAGCACAATGTTTAGCACAGATATAAACTTGGATTTTCCGAAGAAAAATTGAGGGAGAAAGTTTCACCTATTTCTAAATAAATACTTCAACTACCAACACACCTCTCCAACTCTAGTCTTTTTCAAGTTAATATATCACCATCATTTTCAGCCATATTCTCAACTCCCAACCATAGAGTGCAACCTCAGTTGCTCCCAAAGCTAACCCCGACCCAACTATGACAATATCATTAGTGGCCCAATCATCATAATATTCCTCAATTACCCCTTTTCAGCCAGCCACCTCCTACACAACCACCACTGTCAATAAAAGACAACAAGAAAAGTCTTAATATTTTTGAAAAATATAATTAATTCATTAATTTGAGAGTTGTTTAACATGTACAAAAAATTTCAAAGGCAACATATGCATATTAATTTTTATTATAATTAAATTCTTACTTGGTTTATGCTAGGGGGAGTGAAGAAGCACTGTAGCCCGAAAAATCGAATGAGACAAAGTTAAAAAAAGGGATCTTACATGTAAGGGGAAGTATTGAATAATAGACCTCCTAAGTATCACCACATGTAAGTATCCCATATTGATTGAAGAGGAGAGGTTAATTACTTTATAAGGCTAAGGGGACGGAGTGCCAGACCTGTAATTAACATTAAGTTTTACATAGAGTCTTAACTCAAACAAATTAAAGAAGTTGTGCAACAATAAGAACAAGAACCCGCATCTTATATTGTGGAAGTAGAACAAGACACACCTTTCTCCATGAACCTCTTATTCCCTCGCTTGTCTACTTATTATTTGGTAAGCCAATCTCTAAACTCACCATGTGCATCGATTCCTACTAAACTATGTTAAACTTTTCAACGTTTGGTTAGATTGACTTGGTAAGAATATTGTACTTAGTTCTAAAGGTCATATTATAATAACGTCATGACAACAGATTGATTAGATGTGATATGCATCATTGAGGGTAAAAGCAATTGTCCACAGGCTACAAATTGTGCTTCTTTACACTGGGAGGATGGAGGAAATTCATTATCCACGATGATTATTTGCAAGTAATGAAAAACTTAAAAGAAAAGAAGTGCGACATTGTTTGATGTTGCTTCTTTTCATCTTGTTTTTTGAAAATAAAACTAATGAAGCAACACATATTGTGTCTTATGTCAACTCTTCTAATTATTCTATTATAGTTTGACAAAAGAACACCTTTATTTTTATTTATTTTTTACGGGAAGATGTCTTAGGACCTGTTCATATTTACTGAAATGAGCCGAATTGAACTGAACTGAAATGAATTGAACTGATTGGAGCTGAACTGAATTGAACTGAACTGAAAAATTAAAATGCATAAAACTGAATTGAACTGATTAGAGCTGAACTGAACTGATTGGAGCTGAACTGAACTGAAAATAAGTAAATATGAACAGGCCCTTAATATTAATGTAATCATCATTGTTTTTTTTTTTTTTAATTTTACTCAGGGCCTGTTCACATTTACTGACCTGAGCTGAACTGAACTGATTGGAGCTGAACTGAACTGATTGTAGCTGAACTGAACTGAATTGAGCTGAAATGAATATTTTATGAGAGAGGGAAATTAGGAGCTGAACTGAACTGAACTGAACTGATTGAAGCTGAACTGAACTGATTGGAGCTGAACTGAACTAAACTGAACATAACTAAAATTAAGTAAATATGAACAGACCCTCAATATTTTTTTTAAAACCAATAATCGTTTTTTCTTAGTTAAAGGGTAAAAAAATTTCATAATCAATCCATAAGGCAACAAAAATATCTTGCATAATGCATATGATATTTTAATTTTAATACTTCGTACTACATTTCTCTTATACGGCCACATGACAAAGGTTTGACTTGATATAAATAACAAAAACATTATTTAACCGATAGGGTTTTCAATAAAAACCTAATTTAGGTCATCACATATGTTGGGTTTTCTTCATTCTTCTTCTCACCTCCAAAACCCCATCAACGGTCACATAGAAACAAAGCAAAGGTACTTCTGGGTTGTTAATGGCGGCTTCTCACCATTAAAACGACCCCGTTTTTGTAAGAGCTAACACCCAGAATCCTCTGCTACGTGGGTTTACTGTAAGGGTTGATTTCTTGATCTTAAAGATTGAAACTTTGACGGTTGAAAATGGATGTTGGGGTACTTGATGAAATCATACGGCGGTTACTTGATGCTAAGAATGGAAGAACTGTGAAACAGGTTCATCTTCCTGAGTCTGAGATTCGACAGCTTTGTGTTGCTTCTAAAGAGATTTTTCTTAGTCAACCTAATCTTCTTGAACTTGAAGCTCCAATCAAGATTTGCGGTATACTTTCTAACTAGGAGAAATAATTCATTATTATTATTATTATTATTATTATTATTATTATTATTATTATTATTATTATTATTATTATTATTATTATTATTATTATTATTATCTTTCAAATTGTTAATTGGAATTTGAATTTATTTTGGGTGTAAATTGGATATCTTTGAACTAGTTTGAGTTTTGGGATTTTAATTCATATGAAACATGATTATATAAATTGGGATTTTCTTTTTCTGTAATACTTGATCGATAAATTATTTTTTCGTAATTATACTTATAAAGAAACCCTTTTTTACTGAACCTTTTTTTTTTTTAATTTATTTATTTAATTATTCAATTTGATTTTGATATGGGCTTTTCTGATTTTGATATGGGTTGTTCTATTATTGGTGAGTGATGGATTGTTTGTCAGATTATGAGTATGATGAATTTAATTGATTGTTTTTGAGCTACCAATTTGGTAGAAGTTCGGTTTTATATGTCTCTTATGCTGAGGAACAATTTTTTGTGCTACAATAGGGGGTTAGGTTGTGTGTTGCTGTACAATTGACTTTTCAGTGATTGCCCACCAAACCATGGCGCATGGTAGCCAGTATAGGCATGTCCCGCTTGTTTGATTTTCGTTTTATTGGTGATATACTGATCAATATCTAAAATTGAGATGATGGATGTTATGGAATATAGCGGCGACTTCTTAATTGGATTGAACACATTAAATAGCAATTTATGTTTCTTTGTGTGGAATTTTCCCTTTGCATAGTTAGTGGGCTTTAAGTTGCATGGTTCACACTGAAGAAATGAATTGATTTCTTGCCAAGTTGTCATGTATGCTATACATGGAGCATGTTTATTGGTTGTTGGGTGAGAAATGGTGCTTACTTGAGTTTGATGTTTACGCTCTTTATTCCACCAATTTCATTTTTTATTGGAATTCAATGATCCCCTTTTCAGGATAGTATATTGCCTATTTGGCTTATTTGGTTAGTTATAATAAAGACCGTAAGGCTAATGAGTTTATATGTAGTTTTGTAGATTTATTTCTTACAAAAGTACCTATTAAATTATTTTTGTTACTACCATCAATCACTGCCTACCACTTATTAAAAACATGACTGTAAGGTACATAGTTAGGAAGGTTATGGGCGTATGTGGGTAGGAACTAGGAACTGAAACAAGTATTTGTTATGCAACTATGGGGTTCAGTGTCATGTGGTGATATGGTGGCTGAAACCAATCTCTATGATGGGAAGTTTTAGAGTAAAGCTGTAAAGATAGCAGTCATGCTTACATTGTTTGCGTCAAATATGTGGATATTGAGTGTATTGGTACATCACTACATGATTCACTTTGGAAAATGACTTGCTATCACACCTGTATGCTTAAGTGGGGGATTCAATATGTGGGAAATGTTAGACCTCATTTTGCAGATGCTCCCAATTTCATAATTGTTCAAGGTCTTTGTTTTCTATTTTTCCCTTTCTTGAAATGTATATTACCTTTAAGTTACAAGGTTGATAATTCGGTTTGGCGTAATATGTTACAGTCAGTAGCTATCAGCGTAGGTGCGTAACACATAGATCATCATGTAGTGGGAGACTGGGAAGCATGTAGTTAGTTCATCATTTTGTATATATGCAATATGGTATTTACACTTGAGTGCAAAAGTTAGACTTCTCATGATGTGGGCTGGAATGCTATGCACATTATTGAACAAATGTATAAGATTATCTTTATTGTGCATTTATAATATGAGCATGCTTATTTTGCTGGTTTTGGCACTGTGTAATTTGAGCTTTTTATGCTGCATGTTTTATTACCGTGTATATGCCCACAAATATAGGTGGAATATCTGTGCTATTATAACCAGACTACTTAACTGCTGCAAATCTTGGTTGTATGGAAATGCTAACAAGACTACTTGCTGTCTCAGGAGATATTCATGGTCAGTTTTCTGATCTGCTTCGTTTGTTTGAATACGGGGGCTTACCACCTGAGGCAAATTATTTATTTTTGGGAGATTATGTAGACCGTGGTAAGCAGAGCATAGAGACCATTTGCCTTCTTCTCGCATACAAAATAAAATATAAAGAGAACTTCTTTCTTCTTAGGGGAAATCACGAATGTGCTTCAATAAATCGCATATATGGGTTTTATGATGAGTGCAAGAGAAGGTATAATGTTCGCCTTTGGAAAGCGTTCACAGACTGTTTTAATTGTCTGCCTGTTGCTGCACTTGTGGATGAAAAAATCCTTTGCATGCATGGAGGATTATCACCTGATTTAAAAAATCTAGATCAGATCAGAAATTTAGCTCGGCCTGCAGATGTCCCAGATCAGGGCCTTCTTTGTGATTTGTTGTGGGCTGACCCTGAGAAAGAACTTGATGGCTGGGGAGAGAATGATAGGGGTGTCTCATACACTTTTGGAGCGGACACAGTCTCAGAATTTCTTCAGAAGCATGACATCGATCTAGTATGCAGAGCACATCAGGTAATTGCTCGGCATTATGATCTATTGCTTGATTTATAAATTGCCTGTAGAAGTGGGATGTAATATTGAGTTATTCTGTAATTATTGTAATAGTTGCATCCTCGATATTGCTTTTCATGTTTTTACTTGGCTGTTTACGTATAAATAAGGAGTATAAGAGGAAGCTTACTGATTGTTTACATATTTCACCTTCAATGAAATGGTGTATGCATTGTGTCTGTGTGAGTGCATTGTTTCATCCTCTTTTCTTCTTGCAGTTAAAGGGGTCTCTGTAGCGGTTTGCCTTTGTCTAGCGTTTAGGAGAAGAAGATAGAAACCTTAGGGATTTTATAAGATTTAATGATTAAGTAGTAGCAATTTCTTTTTCTTATATCGGTGGATCACCTGAACTTAAAGGCATGATGTTATAATATGGGCAATATGGCTTTAGACTTAATTTTAGCAATTCTGCTGTTCCATCTAATATGGATGTAATCCTGAGATAAGCCTATATGTGGGGCCTTTATATAAAGTTCGGTACTGAACTAAACCAAATACGCGTTGTAAGGGTTGGGCCATTGAGGAGAACTGTAATTATCATTCCGTTTTATTTAGATGGCTGCTTTACTATATACAAGTACACTACAATACTACATAGCACTTGTAAGCACTTATGTAGTTATATTGTGTTTTGATTATATTTGGACTTGTTAATGATCACCTTATTATATGTGATATTAACTTATCCTTGGGGAGTTCTCAGACAACTTCTTTGGAGAGTTTGCTTCATGGTAACATATACTACTCCTTCATAATATGATGCCCGTTTCTCAATTTTCATAGGAATTAAAGATAAGATAGTAGAGGGAGTGTGTAATGTTCTTAAATGTATGGATATTTTATATGGGAAAGGTAAAAAGTAAATTAATTAATGGAACGAAAAATTGGGAAAATGTAGAGTACTTTATATGGGAAAGGTAAAAATGGAAATATGAAAAACAGGAACATCATTTTGGGACACCTAAAAAGGAATATAGGCATTATATTAGGAGAAAACGTGCTATTTTTGGCTTTCTGACCTTTTTCCCTTGTGTTGTCCCTGACATATGTTTTTACCAAGGCTTTTTTAGGTCTTTTCTCGTCTGCTTCCAGAACATTTTAGCTAATTGTTCTACTTTCTTGTGTAATTGTGTTATTTGTGACAAAATGTGTCCTCAGGCTCCACTATTTTAAAGTGTAATCAATTATCCTGGCTTGGATTTTTCAGTTTATCAAAATTTCCTTGTTTTGGTTTGTCTCTTTATCGCCTTCTTGAGGAGCTCTCTTCTCGTATATGAACAAATTTGATTCGTCCCTTGTAGTATGAGAAAATGTGGGTCTCTTACTAGGCTATTGAATTTAAGGTGTGGGAGGGGGTGAGGGTTCAAGCTATCACTTGTTTAGTAAATTTCCATGCAAAGCATCCAAATTGAAGTAGGATACTAATGCCACCTCTCTCTCCTTGCTGGTTCACAAATATCAGGTTGTGGAAGATGGTTATGAATTTTTCGCCAATCGCCAGCTTGTGACCATATTCTCCGCACCAAATTACTGTGGGGAGTTTGATAATGCGGGAGCCATGATGAGTGTGGATGATTCCCTGACTTGTTCGTTTCAGATCCTCAAAGCTTGTGAAAAGAAAGGAAAAATGGACTTTAATAACCATATGTTGAGACCTGGGACTCCACCGCGAAAGGTAAAACATGCTTCAATAGCAGATTATGTTGTACTTGTCAATTCTTATCAGTGAACTCTACTATTGATCAGCTGTAACATGTTTGGTCAATATCATTGGATTGTCACCAGATTGGTGAGTGAACTTTACTAATACAAGTCTCCTGGCTGCAGGGAGGGAAAGGTTAACAGGTTCATTATATTCTGCTAGAAGCGTCCCTGTCAACTCAAAATCTGCCAAATTACACAAGCGATGCAATTGTCAACTGTAAGAGAGGCGACTTTTTCAGGATCATGTGTTTAGTCGAGCAATATTTGACCATATTTTGTTGTAATAGCTAGTAACTAATGTTAGATCCCCCCTCCCCCTATTTAATCTCCCCTTATGGCTCAGGAGTTTTAATTCTGGAAGATAGCAGAAATGGGCAAGCCAAAATTGATGTTCAGATACTTGACAGTTGACACCAGTGGTGATTTCACTTGCTGCAAATTTAGTACTCCATATTTTATTTTTGAAAACAGTGATTAACCTGAATTTGAATTTCCTTTCACGTGGTCTTTGGATGAGTAGGAACAGAGATCGTTAATGCTAAGGTTTATTGAGACTTGGACAGGATGTTGGCAAATAGAATGTGTGTGCATACCCATAAAGCGGCAGGGTATGAAAGTTTGCTTGAGATGCATATCAAGCCATAACTATGATGGAGTTGTGGATATAATGCAGTTAATTCGCGACAGAGCTGTGAGGGATCTATGGGAAATCAGTTTCAGTCTTACACAAGTCTCATCTTGTTTTATTACAACAGTGTTATTGCCTTCTCTAGTCTTGTTAACCAAACAAAATAAGCAAATTTCTATGCTTGAAATTCCCTTGTCTAGTTGAATTGGATGTAGCTATTACTTCCATCTTGTAAAAATAACAAACAAAAACCATTGCTTAAGCAATGAACAATAAGGGCAACCTTTATTTCCCTTCCTTTAAGTAAATGTCAAGCGATTAAAATCAAGTAACCACTTGGTCACACCACGGATTAGAGCTGATAATACACGGCCATAGTGCCATCCAGAATCATAGTATCGTAGTTTGATGTAAGCTTTATGCACAATTGATATAGCTAAATACTTGCATTTTCCATATTCCACTTATAACAATGTTCCTATACATTTCACAAATCAAAAACTAGCTACTACCAAATAGCAGGTGCTCCTCTTCAAGTGAGGATTCATCATCCAAGATTGACACCCAAGTTTCTGCTACCCTAACTACTTTGCCACCTGAAAATTCTACCACTGTAAATGCTCGAATTGAACCTCCAGAGCTTGGATACTTCACTCTAGGAACAATAGCAGCATTCAGGTACATGGTTTCCCCATCCATTGCTATCATCTTTCGAGAACCTCCGCAAGATAATTCTTTATGCATGTGCCCAAACACTACCAAAGGAATGTTATAGCTGGTGGTCTCTTTCAATTGCAAAATTGCTTGTGCTAGATCTGTGTTATAGCAGAGGTAATTTAAACTCAATAACTTAACATAAATATAGATTAATCTAGACACGGATATAAAGGCAGTAATAGGTAAAAACGCATATTACCTGGATCCCCATGATCTCCAGCTTCAGGCATCCAGTCAATGCCACACATGTCATCTTTGCCAGAACCAAGACCTGCATCAAACAAAAATGCAAGTTTTAACAAAGCACTCCCTACTTTTTTGTATCTCAAAATAACACATTGTACTAAGTAGTTACTTTTGTATCATCAAAATTGGGTCAAAGAAATTTGTAAATCCACAATGTACCATACTTGCTCAATGCAATACATATTTTGGGTGATTTCATGCTATGTAAAGTTAATTTGATATAAAGTTCCAATGGTATATACCATAGCAATTTGTTTAAATGAAAATTCTGATTTTGAATAAAATTTACTCGATTTTGAAACTCAAATTTCAACACAGTATACAAATGAGTGTTATCAGTGATGAGCATATGCAAATTTACAGATATTATCAAATGACTAATTTGGTTATAAACTTAAAGAGAGTTATTATTTTATGACAAAAAGAGTAGCTAAATATTCATGGCCAAGTTTTTAAGCTCCTTACCTCTTGGTCCATTATGCGAGAGAAGTATAATGGAATTTTCCTTTGGAGTCTGTAACGCAGCCTTGTAAATTTGTTCAGCACTTTCTTCCATGTTATGTACTCTATATCTGAAAGTACATATACCATCAATCACTACTACAATAGCTATCATGCAAAGACAAAACTAGCAAAGAAAAATGTAACTCATTAACATTCCAATTCACACAGATTATGCAACAATAACTTATGATACAACTAAAGCCTGCCATTATACTTTTGTACCTGGCCGTTATAAGCTTCTTCCGGAATAACTGATCGCCTCCACAAGAAAATGGTCTCCCACCTACAACACTAAGCTTTAACGGAGGAAAGTCAAAGCAGTCATATCCAACATGTGCTTCACCAAGGTATTCCAGTTGAAGTTGAACTCCATCTTTCTCCTTCTTGGAGAACTTACTAGTAGACCAGGAATCATGATTTCCAAGTATTGCTCCTTTAGGGATATTAAGCTTTGCAATACTCTTTACAAGCTCAACATTCTCATTGCCGAAGTCACCTGTGAACAGCACCAGATCAGGCTGTAAAAATTGGAGCGCTTTGGAGTCATGTTCTAGTGTCCATTCTTCATGGATGTCTCCGATGACAACGATACGGAAAGAGGAAGACATGGATGTGATGATGATGAACAATGACTTTCATCAGTAGATGGCTCGAACAGAGGCTTCATGGCAGGAAAGAGCACAACTTCCTGAATGCTTCGGGAATCAGTCACCAACATTGCTAGATAATCAATACCCAATTCCCAACTAGCAGAAGGAGGCAGCCCAAACTCAAGCGCTGTACAAGTCTCATCCAAAACTGCTACTCCACCATCTGATTGTGGATCCTTCAGTTGATCAGTAAATCGTCGGTGCTGTACCATTGGATCATTTGCTTCAGTGCAACCATTGCAAAGCACATTTTTGTTCACAAACAACTTGAAATACTCGGTCAAGCCAGACTTTGATCTGTGGCACTTGGCCAAAGGATGAATCATTTCTGGATAATCCATAATGAAGGTTGGATTTAAACAAGTTTCCTCCAAAAAATGTACAACCAGTTTATCTAGCAAGCGAGCTGATGTTAGTGGAGGCTGACATTTCACATCATATTTCGAGCATACATCCATCAAAAATTTGTTAGCTTCTTCACTAGCTAAATCTTGTGGTATGGATAGTTGAGTAAATTTCTCTAATTCATCTATCACATTAATCCTCCTGAAATTCAACAAGCAAAGGTTGTCATAGTGTTCAGTATCCAAGAATATGAATAAAGTGATGCAGCCAGCACAAAAATAAACGGACACAATGTAACAAACCTGAATGGAGGGGTAAAATCAATCTCAATGAACTCCTGATCTGGGTCATTTGAATGACATTTGATAATGAAACTGCCAGTTAATACCTTCACCATCTCACTCAACATCTTTTCAGTCAGACACATCAGATCATTGTAATCTGAATATGCCATATAGAACTTGCAAGTGGTGAACTCAGGGTTATGTCTCTGGTCAATAGCCTTGTTGCTAAATTGCTTTCCAATTTCATAGACACGGTCTAGTCCACCAACGACTAGCTGCTTTAAATAAAGGTCAGGCGCAGTACGCATGCATAGCTTCATATTCAGCTCATTATGATGGGTCACAAATGATCTTGCAGAAGCTTCACCCCCACGACTCATATTCATTATGGGTGTTTCAACCTCTAAAAAATTTAGATTGTCAAGAAACTTCCTCATATATGTGATAACCTTTGAACGGGTCTTAAATACTTCTCTTGCTTCATCATTCCACATTAAGTCCAAGAACCGCATGCTATATCGAGTTTCTTCATCATTCAGGAGGTACAAGTCAGGATTCCTTGTATTTCCCGGGACCCAAACTTGACTCTTGTTCAAATTAACATTCTCTGAAGGTTGGTCTCGTGTAGGCATTACACGGAGGCAATGTGATAAAACAACAAAAGACTTTGGAAAAATACTTAGCATCCCTCTCTTGGTTTTCCCAGGGAATCCAATTACACCAACAATATCAAAACATTTCACAGAAGAATGGAGTGTGGAAAATTCAGCTGCTTCCAACTCAGAACTCCTAGTATCAGCGACAACCTGGACTTTGACACCACCACCATACAAATCGTAGAAGAGAAGCTTTGATGAAGATGGGCGCTTGCTCATGATCCTTCCCGCCAAAGAAACCAACACATCCTCAAGACATTCCCCATTGTCCAACCCACCATATGTCCCTATAAACTCGGATATAGTCATCGTTACATTGAACTTATGAGGGTACGGATTGATTCCAGCAGCTTTCTGTGCATCCAGGAATTTCACCATGCTCTCGTAGTATTGCTGCAGCACAATCAATTGGGAAAGAAAACAAATGCAACTTCACTAAATCAACAATAGCGAAATACAGCACCATGTCATCTAATATTAACTAACCATAAAATTTTATTTCTACTATTTATATATATGAACCAAAATCTTACTTATAAACAAGAAAATATCACACATTCAATTCCCACTTTCAAGAATTTGTTGCTACTTTTCTCGTCTCATGATTAAAGCGTTGTCATATGAATTAATTCTAGACAAAAAAAAAAAAAAAAAAAAAAAAAAAATAAAATAAAAATAATAATAATAATAATAATAATAGTGCAGCACGGTGATCCACTTGGCCCTTTGCTTTTTGCTTTGGTGCTCCATCCGTTGGTTTGTCAAATTAGGGATTCTTTTGACTTATGTTTGCAGGCTTGGTATTTGGATGATGGCACTATTATTGGTGACACCTTGGTGGTAGGGAAGGTTATGGAGTTGATTTTGGTGGAGGGACCTCGTCTCGGTCTCCATGTTAACGTTGAGAAAACGGAAGTTTTCTGGCCCACGTAGGACCCTCGTAGCCGTATGGCCGGTGTCTTTCCTCCAGATATTCTCGTCCTGCTCATGGTGTTAAGTTGCTTGGGGGTCCTGTCAGTGCGGATGCCTCTTTCTGTGGTGAGTTTGTTTCGCAGAGGGTGTCGAAGACCATTGTGCTCATGGATGCTGTTGCTAAGCTTGAGGATCCCCAATGTGAGTTATTACTTCTTCGTGCGTGTACTGGAGTTTCAAAACTCTACTTTTCTATGCGCACTTGTCCTCCTCGTCTTTTTTAAGCGGCCTAAATTTCTTTTGATGTGGCCCTTCGAGGTTCTGTGGAGCGCATTGTAACTACTTCGGGGCCAGGTTTTGGTGATTGGCAATGGCGACTTGCCACCTTACCTTTTTCTTATGGAGGACTGGGTGTCTATTCAGCGGGTGATGTTCGACACTATGCTTTCCTTGCGTCGCGTTTGCAGTCTTCTGGTCTACAGGCTTCGCTTCTTCGCAATTCTGGTATTGTTGGTCCAGGTCCGGCCTTCGACGACGCTCTTAGTCTTTTTAATAGGACTGTGGAGACTGACCTTTTGTGTTACCCTGGTGAGATCGCTGCCCCCAAACTCATGAAGAAATTGGCAGATATATATTTCACGAAGGTCACTGCATCTGCAGAATCCACTTTCTCCTTGTCTCCGCGTCAGGTTGCCTTATGGAAGTCCGAGCAGGGGGATTACTCTTCTGCCTGGTTGCGAGCGATCCCGATATCAGGTCTGGGTCAGACTATGAATGGTAAGACTTACCGTTGTGTTCTTTGCTACCGGTTGGGTGTTCCCTTGTTCTCCGTATCGGCACTTTGTTCTGCTTGCTCAAGAGTTTTTGATGGGGATATTTATGGGGATCATGCAGTGTCTTGTGCTGGGATGGTGGGTATTAAACATCGGCATAACGTTGTTCGTGATACCCTTGTTGATATTTGTTTCCGCTCTGGGATTTCTGCAAGGAAGGAGGTCAACGTTGGGTTAACGGGAGGGAACGACGGGGCTCTTCGGCCAGCAGATGTGTTGCTTTATTCCTGGGATAGAGGCCTAGATGTATGTGTTGACTTGACGGGGTCTTCTCCATTGACTCAATCTGGGTTGTCTGACTTCGTTCCTGGTCGTGTTATGTCGGCTGCGGCTCAGCGGAAGCGAGACAATGGGGCGCGTTGCAGGGCTATTGGCTATGGTTTTCTTCCTTTCTCCTTTTCTTCATTGGGGGAATTAGAGAAGGATGTCGTTGCGTTGCTGAAGCGGGTTCAGGCGTTCGCTAGGACTCAGGATATTGGAGCTCGTGCAGCTGCTCACATCTTTAACAGGATTGGGTTCGCTATAACTAGAGGGGTGGGGGCCAGATTGTATCTCGGCTCCCCACTAATTTCTTGTAAATCTTTTGACTTGGTAGGTTTTTGTTATTTTATAATAATAATAATAATAATAATAATAATAATGACAATTACATAAAGTGATTAAACAAAGTCCGAAAAACAATTATTTGCAAGTTCAATTAATCAAATATTATCAAACAATTATGCCTAAAAAAAATGTTAACTTTATTCCAAAAATAATTAATTTTCAATGATAAAACATAATAGCAATGATATCCATAGTAAATTTGATCTTCTCATTCAATTTATCATGCTAATTAATGTAAAATTGATCTTGGCATTCAGTTTTTTATGCGAATTTTGACAAAATTATGCCACAAGTTAATTAATTTGAAAAAACATAAAATAGGAAATAGAGAAGAAAAGGGCAAAATACCTTTGAAGTTAGGGGAGAATGTGAGGAAGAAGGAGGCATAGTGAGCGGTGGCAGTGGGGTTTCGGCGCCGGCGGTCGGCCGATGGGTTGGACGCCGGTTTTGGAGGACGAGTGGTGAAGAAGCGTGCGTCACAGCGTGGTAGTGGTTTTTCATACTAATACTCCGTATGATTTTTTTTTAGAAAAATAATACTACTACGTAATAAAAAAAAATTGACTTGAATTTATAATTTGTCAAAAAAAATTAGGGTTTTCTTTTCTACATGGTAATTATGTTAATTTTCCTTAAAAAAAAAAAGTAACTACGTAACAAGTAGCCTGATGTTCGGTCAGCTACTAGTTGGGTTCCTCCGTCGAGTAATGTTGTAAAAGTGAATGTTGATGCTCATATAATGAGTTGGTGTAGGGGTGAGTTTGGGGGTAGGTGTAGGGGTGGTTATAAGGGATGCAGAGGGGGTTTTGTTGCTTGATTTAAGTTAATACTTTCTTCATTTCATTATGTTAGTCCCATATGGAATCAATCATATAAAATAAGAAAAGAAATATATTTGGAATCTAACTTTAAAATACAACATAATTCATAATAAATTTACCTTATTTAACTTTTTTGATTTTTTTATTAAGAAAGCACAAGTCATAATTGCATAATTTAAGGTAAAAATTTCCTTGCTTGGAGTCATGTCATCAATCAACAACCAATTGATTCCAAAAAAATCAAGTTATAAATGAAATATATTCAATATGGGTAGATCTTTTTGAAACGCCCAAGATAGTATATGAGACTAACATTATGAAACGGAGGGAGTACTAATTCTCATTTGGCTTCAAAAAAAAAAACACTTTTATACCTCGTGTTCCAACATATACGGAGTATCACTTTCCATACTACTAATGTAAATTTTGTTTCCATATGGTAACCTTGTTGTAAAATCCTACCGTTAAAAATTCCGTTAGTGGGGCCCACTTTCCTTTTTTTTAATTTTTTTTTTGCCGATTTACGCGTTGGAAAATATTTCGTTAAAGGCTTTGGGGGTTATGTTAACCTTACAGATCCAAATTGAACTCATATTTCAAAAAAAAAAAAAAAAAACGTAAATGCCTTTTTTGTGTATTAAAACTTGAACACTGGCTCGAAATTGGCAAAAAAATAACGTAAGTGCCTCGATTTCACGACAAAAACTAGTTGCACACAAATTGATACATTAACTCATTATGTGACATAGAATTCACAAGTTTGAGCCTCATCAACTATTATCATAGTACTAAATTCCATTAGAGCTAGCAACCGTGTCGTGTCGTGCAATGGTGTTCATGTTTGAAATTAAATGCGTTGGGCAACCTCAACACAAGGTTGACTCATTTAGTAAACGTGTTGTGTCGTATTGACTCGTTTAATTATATGTGTCGAAAACCCTTAATACTAACCCAATTTTCCCGTGTCTAGTTCGTATAATGTAATCCTGTTATATGAAAACATATTAGCTCATAAATTATCAATTTTTGTAGTCGCATTAATTTCGTCTTAAAAATCACAACACTAACCTAACCTATTTAAATAACGATCTTGCTAACGAGCGCCCCGGGGCGTTAGATAAGGATAAATTATATTGGTTAAAATGGTATTAAGTTAGGAATTCATGACAAAATCACGCATCGTTCGGTGTAATTAATGTTAATTTTACTCTAATATTTGCATTTTAATTATCTTATCCAACGCCCCGGGGGCCCTTATTAGAGCATCTCCAATGGTAAGCTACAAAGGCTTGTAGCTTGCTTTGTCATGTTCATTCATTTTTAAGGCTACAACCTATTTAAGCTACAAAGTACTCCAATGGCAAGCTATAAGAAGTTGTTGCTTGATTTGCCACATCATTATTTCAAGCTACAAAGTACTCTAATGGTTGGCTATATAATTTTTTAGCTTGCATGTAATACTTTATTTACTACACTATATGAGCTGAAAATTTCATTGCTATTTTACTTACTTTTACCAAAAAAATTCTAATTTATAATATAATTTTATAAGTTGTGCCTGCTATCAATATTAAAATTTATATGCAATAATTTATATAATTTCATATAAGTTGTTTTGTACTCGTATTATAAGACGACTTGCTTGCGATTTAATTATTTGAGCTTGTACGAAGTATTTAATATTTTCATCAAGAGAATTGATAACCTTTTCCATTTTTAAAAAAAAAAATATTGATAACTTTTCTCCCTAAATTTATTTGCATATTTTATTATCAACATTTGACAATACAACTAAATAAAACTAATTAACAAACCAACATTCCTTAAACAAAAAAAAAAACAAAAAAAAAAACAAAACAAAAAAACAACTTAGCAACTTAAAATCAATTCAAGTTATAGCTACCAAAACGTGACCAAATATGCTCAACTAAATCAGCCTTTAGCTGGTGATGCATTTGTCTATCTCGGATTGTTGCATCTCTTTCAAGATATGACTCAAAATTCTCTTCATGTCCTTGATGCACATCATCAACAACACTTGGTGAAAATTCATCGTTAGGAAAGTTTTTGTTATAAGTGTGACGCTCGTCTTCAACAATCATGTAATATAATACACGCATCCATAATATCGTGGATATTGCGTTTATGCCAACAACGTGCAGGCCCACGAACTATAGCAAAACGAGATTGGAGTACCCCAAATGCCCTCTCAACATCTTTCCTTGCACTCTCTTGCTTTTCCTTAAACAAAAGCCTCTTCGGGTCCCGAGGATGGTAGCTTGACATGTTGTCTTGCAAATTAGGCATTGTAGTATTGGGATAATAGTAGCCAGGGTGGTAGTGTGTTTGAGGGTAGGAATTTTCGGAGGTGAAATTTCCACTATTTGATGAATTTCCCAAACCAAAATGTTTACTAAATGGATTATCCGTATCATCCATCCAAATTTTTTACGAGGAATTAATTGTAGATATGAAAGTATTTGTAGATTATGTTTTTTTTGAAACAATATACTGGTTGTATTCTTAAGGTTAAAAAACTTATTTATAGATGCATTAGCTAATAATTCAAAGTTAAATATGGTTACCAAATATTGTACATTGGCTAAAATTTTGGCAAAATCTTTTATTGACAAAGTCTAATTTGTTATCATATATAACGTAATAAAAAATTTTAAATCTTAAAATACTTATAATCTTGTACAAGTGATCTTACGAATATAATGAATGTTACTAATTTTTTTAACAAAAAGAATAAAACAAAGTATACCTATAACCTATAAGCTAGGAAGCACATTAGTCAACATTAGCTAGAGCATGTCAGTTACACCTTCTGATAAAGATGAAAACTGATTTTAAAATGTTTTTTTTTTAGAAAAAGATAAAAAAAAAGAAAGTTGTTGCATTATCTTTTGAGCAATTGTAGATCACGTAGAGCATTTCCATTAGCCGTGCATACCACTCTCCAATTTTTTAAAATAATATATAAATCTTGAAAATTTCCAAGCAGTGTTGCTCAAGTGAGCAGTGCTGCTCTTCCAAGCAGGTATGTCAATTTTGTTCCAATGGTCAAACTACAGTTTTAATATTTTTAAATATTGCAAGCAAGACCCTAAAACTAACCATTGGAGATGCTCTTAGCTTTTGCCTTTAAATAAATATGCCATATCATGTTGAACGTATTAATCAAATACAGTATTTTAAAAATTTCTTAGGCTAACTTAATTTTTTCGTATCCAATTCATATCTCACTAGCGTTATAGACTCATCGCTTAAAGTCAGAATGCACACTAGATGTTTGGATTTGGATGTGCAAATCGTTCGGCGCGAGCAACAGTAAACATTCAAAATTTTGCCAAAAAAAAGGGAGCGAATAAAACACCTACTTTTCCTTGAGTACAATTCTAACCGTAGATCACTCAATCACAAGTAGAAATATACGGTCCACAATTTATCTCTACGGTGCACGCGACCACAGACAATAACAACCTTTGTACGTGGTATATAAAATCTCTTACTCAACTTCTCCTCCACTTTCTCGAACTTCTTCACTCCCAAACTCTCTGAAAACAAATAGTGAGATCGATAAATAGAACAACACTCCGGCGAACAATTTCCGGCAAACGATTTCCGGCGAAGGTTTGAAACTCCCGGTGAGTATCACATTATGGTTCAATTTGTTGATATTTTTGTGAAATCTGCCCTAATTTTGCTACGATTCGGTTAATTTGGTTTGATTAATGTAGAAATCTGACCTAATTTTGCAATTTTGTTGTTTGATTAATGTTGGAATTTGACTTAATTTGCTGAATTTTTGGTGTAGTGTGGGTGGAATGAGCGTGGTTTATCAAGTGCCGGCACCGGTAAACGACGGCGGTTCGGGGAAGACTCCGTTGCAATTAGCGCTGGAGGTGAATGCGTGCCGTGTGATTGCTGTTGCGGAGCAGCTTAACATGTGCGCACAAACTTCCGAACACCCTGAAAAATTTCATCATCTTTGTCTTGCTCTTTCCAGGTTTTTTTTCTCTCTTTGTAACCCTAAAAGTTTCACATTTTTTTGTTGTTGTTGTTGATATTACTAATTGTTGTCATTTTTGAAGTGGCGAAGAAGATTTGATTTTGATGCTAAATTAGGTTAGGTTGATGGTGTTGGTAACTTAGGGTTTGTTTGGTATCGCCGTAGTTTTCTGTTTTTTGGTTTTTTGTTTTTTTTGTTTTTTGAAAGTATATTATATACGTCACATAATGAATAAAAAGTTATTTAGACTTATTTAAAATCATGTTAATTTTAAAAACTGACAACAGAAAAGTGGAAACACTTTTTTCTTGTTTCCTGCTTTTGTTTTTTAGTTTTAAAAAAAACAGAAAACTCAAAACAAAAAATGATGCCAAACAAGCCCTTAGTAATTAGTGTTGATTTCTGAAGCTTGCAGAGTTGTTGCTTGATTGTGATTTTTTTTTTGGGAGTTTTGGTGATTTAGGTTAAATTGGTTGGGTGTGTAGGCGTGTAGTAGCACGGAAGAAGAGAGATCATGTTGTTTGTATGGTTTTTAAGGTGAATGGCGGGGGCTAAAGGCGTAAGTAACCATGTTTGTTATGTGCTTGATGTTCAATTATTTAGAAGGCTGGACAATTTGGTCGATGAAGCTCTTCGACATAACCAGGATTTTCAAGGAGGCAATAGCCCGCATGCTTTAAGGCAAGCAAACTTGGTTGCTCATGATTTAAACACTTTCTTATTTTTATCCCTCTATAATTACTACTTTTTGACTTACTCTGGAAATTGTAAGACAATCAGAGAAGGGAACTGATGGTATTGTAAGAATCTGAGATAGCGCTTGTGATGCCCTTTTTCCCTTACAAGGGCTTTTAATTTTAAATTGAACTTTCTGGCTTTAAGTTACAGCTATTGGACTGATGTGCGTGAATTAATCATGCACTACATCATATCTCTGTTGATTATATGTCGTCGGTTGTTTATTCATTTCCGCATTACAATTTTATGAGTTGCAAATGTTGGTAGCTACTTTGGAATTTTAACTTTATAGTCATAGAGCATAGTTGTCTGAATTATGTACATGCAGAGTTAGTCTGTCTTAGGTCACTTAGGTGCTAAGGACTTGGAAGAGGTAGGTAGTGGCCTACTGAGAACTTAATTAGTGAATTCAAAATAATTGTGTAGTATGATTTATGTTCGTACATGGGTTGGATTTTTTGTGGTAATACATTTGAAGTTAAGCATTGATGGGTGCACACTGTCTATGACTTTACATTAAGGCAATGATGAGAAGGAATACTAACGAAGCTACGAGTAGTGCTAGTTGGGCTTGGAAATGTATATGTAATGTGAAATCCAAATATCCAGTCTTAAATTTTGCTATGCTGAATGACATATGGATGACCACTCCATCATATAGTATAGCTAAGAGTCTAAGACCTATGCAAGGCTCATTAGGCTTAAGCAGATTCAACTGTGGAGTAACAATGTGCTCCCTTTTTATATTTAAGTGACTGGCTTTTGCTTGAAGTTTAAGAGAATCATAGGGTGTTTAAAGTAGTCGCATTACGGTAGTGAGATTTGTTGGAGAATTAGTATTATGAGAACTGAGAAAGTGATAGTTTTAATAGTTTATTCATAAATGTAGGATTCGAGTGGAGAGAAATAATTTGAAATGTAAGAGTGGGGACTATGAGAATTGAAGAGAGAAAAATAGTTTGCAATGTAGTAGTAGGGGCCAAAGGAGAGAGATATGATAAAGTATATTAGAATGTTTCCAAATGGGGAAGTGTGTCTAAAAAATAGGCCAATTTTGGAAAGTGTGTCACTAAAAAGGAGGGAGTATGGAACAGGTTCATGGTTTTGCATTGATTGGTAGATTGCAATTAAGGCACAAGTTATTCAACTTGAAAATATGTAGAACAGAAAATTGCGCTAGCTGTGATAAGAGATGTGATTTATGAATCCTAAAACACTTATTTTTTTTGACTGTGAGCTCAGTAAAGTGCATGCAGAGCATCAAAAACTGGATTGAGAGGTGCCAAAACTACTGATTTGGGCATTTTTTAATTTCTAAGATGGATTGACAGAAGAACAAATAAGTAAAACTTTAGGAAGAGGCTTGAGATAGCAGCAGTGGCAGCTGTAGTATTTAAGATTTGGCGTGTGAGAGATGTAGCTATCTATAACATAAAATTGCTTACCATTTCTTCGGTTATGTAGGATGGCAAGATGTACAAGTTCGGTGACGAATAGAATTAAAGGTGTTATGGGGAATAAAGTGTCCTAGGTTGATATCTCAAGCAATATAATCTCTTACCAAATAAAAATATATAAGAATTCAGTAGATGTGGGGATCTATTGTATGCCATTGGACATTTTTGAATCATATCCTCTGGTATTTGCTGATACATTGATGTTTTTAAACTCATGGAGTTGATTTTACCCTTTTATTAGCAGACATTGCCAGTACATGAATATAGTAGGACTGATATATTGATAAATTATAAACCACATCTCTTATTTTCTTATTTTCTTTTTGACCTGGATCATCATTTAGATTAATTTTATTGTTTCACAGCATCATTTGATTTATATGCTTTGCTTAAAATGAAATGCAGGGGAATAGACTATGGGCTTGCAAACAACGAGGTGCCAGCCCATGCTTCAAAGTTGCCTCCAGTTTTGAAAAAGGTGTTCCCATCAATTAATAATTCTGTCTTTCTCCTGAAACATTGGCTTTGAGCTCACTGTCTTGAGCTTTGCTTTCATACTTCAACAGCATTCTGAGCTTTATATCATTTTCTCATAGGTGTGTAGCCGAAAAGATGAAATCTTTCTGCAAGCATCTATCATGGTGCTTATGATCTCTGTTAAGGTATGTCACTTATTATAGTTTTGCTTAGTGTTGGCATTTGCTTGGTGAGAAAGCAATCATTTTTATTACGATCTTTGTAGTGGCCTAGTGGGTGCATTTCTTCATTTAATTAATTCAATTCCATTTCTATGGGATATTTTGATTCTTATTTTTCAAGTTTTTATTATGTATGTAGAATTAGAGGTGGGGAATGGTGGCATTTAACACTCTCCCAAGGACCTGTTTTCTCCAACAGTCTTAACTTTTTTCAGATAATTGTTATTTGTTCTTGTCAAAATCAGACTAGATTAGACCATAAATATTCAAATCACACTACACCTGAACTTTTGATTCTTGTTCACTGATTGCTTAACCCAATGAAATTACATATTGGAAAAGTTTGTGGTGAAAGAAATCTAACAAGATCCAAGTTGATAATGTTTTTTCTTATAGGTT